TTATCCCCTTTTATTTTCTCTCTGTGGATGGCATAATTATTCTTATCTCATTAAATCCCGAAATTAAGTGCAAAAATCCACACAGGAAAGTGCAATTTTCCAATCATTTTGCTTATGACTGTGATTGACACTGGTGCCCTTCGATAAAATTCAATGTTTTAACATGCTTTTGAGACTTATATCATCTCTTCATCAGATGACGGCCAAAATTTTCAGTCGGCTCTTGTACTAACCTTGAATTCTTTCAAACTTCAACTGTTTTTCTAATAGTCTATTTTAGTATTTCTGAAACCTCGTTAGAGAAGAAATAGTCTGTAAAATGTTTAGAATGGCTCTTTCCAATACTAGCAGAATATACTCTTCTATGTAGTATAGTGATAATATTCATATATAATACCGCAAGTGATAATATTTTGCCGGAAATATTCGGTGATTATTACGACAGCTTGTTGCCTAGTAATTTCGTGAATGACATTGTTATCAAAACTACGAGCCGTAGGCGAGTAGTTTTGGATCAATGTCATGAGCGAAATTAGAGCAGCAAGCTGGAGTATGTCAATCGACGTATATTTCCAGGAAAAATAGTATCACGAGTTGTATTCGTATGACTATTTCATGATTGAATGAGACAATATATATAAGAAATAGGAAAAATAATTTAAGTATATTCCAACTCGAACTGCGAAGAAGAACATAATGATAGCAATGAAATACAGAATTTACTTTTTTAGAAATTAACTACCTACTTATAGTTATTCACAAAGTGTAATGTACAATTTTGATAAACAGTATTTTTTTTATTATCTTGGAGATGGTTGCTCCCAAAAGAGTGTATACAATTACTATCCAATTCAAACAAAATAAATTGAATTTATATGACATGGAATAATTAAAAAAAAAATATCGTCGCCGAGGGCTCGAACCATCGACCTTCGTATCCTAGCGCAACAACCCTAATAGTTGCGCTACATCAGCTAGTAATTATATTAGTCAGTCACAATAACTTGAGTAATTGAAGAAAATTACTTCAAAAAGGAATTTGAATTCTATTACAAATATGCCAAACTTTTTAAATTACACATGAAACGTCCAGCCAGAATAAAATTGTCTCGCCTTTCGTACAAAATATCTCACTAACGCGAATTATAAGTAAATAAAATAAAGTAGGAACTTAGGTTATTGTCTCAGATTTTGAATCCAAAGCAATCTTGACCAGACACGATGTCAAAATTTTATCGCTGATAAACGAGGTTAGTTGGTCACGTGTGGGTCAATTCGGCTTCTGTATTGGTAGAGCAAGTCCGATAAAATTTAATAAACAAAAAACATCGCTAGAATACAGAAGAAACCATGAAAATGGTCGATTTTGATTGGTTCTCCAGATCAAGAGTGGAATAGTCACACAAATAACTGCTGAAAATATTCAACAAATCGTTTTGGAGAAAAGGATAATAATTTCGGAATGTGTGTATATCAACCTACTTAAAATAATGTTGGTGCATATAGATGCCAAAAATATTATTGAAGCACTTATTTTTAACTGTGATAGTGTCCAGTAATATCTAACTATTCACACCGAAAATAGCATTGACTCATCTGCACTGGATCAACGGTAATATGAGTGAATATATAAGGTGTCCCTAAAGTGTATTTACAAAACCTACCAAATATTCCTCAGACCAAAACAACTCGTTACAAGTAAAGTTGACTCAGTACAAAGTTGCTCAGTTTTGGGAGCTAGATAGCATTGACGTAAATACTCGAAAACTTGTTGATCAATTTTTCATTGAAAAGGAACAGAAAACAACTACTTTCCTTATGATCAGCTTATCGGAGACGAATATTTATGGGGAAAAATAATTTCATAGTATTGTTCCCCATGCTTTCGAACCTCTATATTCAAAAAATCACCTCATTTCGAATCAACAGGAGTGTTTTACATTTTTTTATATCCTGACTCGGGAAAATAGTGAGTTCAAATTAACTGCAAATTAAATAAATAAAAATAAAGATTTGAAAGAAAAAACAGGGTTTACTTTTTATTGTTGAACTCACTGTTTCCGAGTAATTAATTACGTTCGCAAAAATGCTGTTTAGATGTGCTTGTTCTTTGATACCTTTCATAGAAATCATATGAAAATTGACATAAGGGGATTCGAGACCAAGAGAAACTATATAAGTAATGAGATTCGTTTTTCTGTAAAAAAATGCCTAATATGATTTCATAGAAGAATACCCCTTTTCATTTTATAGAAACGAATGGCACTGTCCAAAATGATTTTCGTCTCTCAAAAACTGATCATATATTGATGGTTATTGAAACCGGTCCAATTTTGGTAATAATCGCAAGACTGATAATTGAAATATAGTTAGGGGCCGTTTGAAGAGAGACACGCTGTATACAGGGAAGTCCAAAAAAAGTTACGACAGTTAACTCCATTTTGTATTTCATTATCGAGATTCATGAACCATGGTCATTTTAAACTGAACAGGTATTATATTCATAAGTTAAAATAAGCAGAACAACAAGTCGAATTGACTGTTGAAAATGTTTGCCATTTACGGCTTGACAATTTTCAACAATCTCCGGTGTAATGGCACACACTTCTCCAGGTTGTTTGGTCTGTTAACAAATACTTCCGATTTGAGGTGACCCCAAGACGAGAAGTCTATCGGAGTTAGGTCTGGCGACCTAGGAGGCCATTCGATAGATCCTCCCCTTCCTATCCACCGATTGGGAAGACCACTGATTTTTTAAAACGACATTATCGTGAACTCTATACTGAAAAACTACCAGTGAATAAATTTTGAATTTTTTCATTCATGCTAGGACGATGAAAAAAATAAATTAGTATATGTCCATTTCAAAACACACAATTCCTGCGCCATTTGAAATTTCATCAATTCATTGGTGTGACTGGTGCGACGTCTTAGTCCCAACACGCCTATTGTCCTTGAACTGACCAATTACACTGCAACACTGGAGAATGACGAGGTATCAGAGAGAGATAGCTACAGTTCGGGACTACTACGTCACGACTCCACCATCATATTTGGCTGTTTGAAATATCGAATGAAATATGCTGATTTCAAAACGATATAGATTCGATTCCCTTCAACTTCAACTCATAATATTAATTGTACATAAAATGTAAATCATGATTCGTCGATTGAAAGAGGTTTGCACGGATTTCTTCGCTCAGTGGTCTTCCCCATTGGGAAAGTTTTCATCGAAAAATGTACGCACTAATATGATTTCTATGGAAGGAGCATCATCCTGCTGGAACATCAGTTCTTCGTCCAATGGATTCGGAAATAAAGCCACGTAAAAAACATGTTGAAATGTTTTGGTCGATTTATAAAAAAAAATCAACCCTCTCAAATTCTGTCCTGATTATTGATATGTTCCATCGTACAAACCTACTTAGAATTCTATGCAAAATTCAGAAATGAATAACGAAAGAGGTGTTTCCATTTGAAAAAATAAAATTGACGGTCGTCACTTCATTTTGGGATGCCATATTAGTATACCGGTCATCATGGTACACCTCCTTTTTCTCCTTCAGTACCAGTGATAAGTGATTGAAATTCGAAATGACTCATCGACTTGATAAACGTCACATTTTGACATGAATATGTTTCAATATCCACTTCCGGTTTCACCAGAAAAGATATTAACTTTCGATTTTCAAATGGAACACCTAGTATATCATTGCATTTTCGAATTCTGCATCATTTTCTGAATCCAATGATACCACATAAGTAAAATTTCAAACTTCACTATTGATTCTGATTTCATTTTTGATTTTCCATCTAAGTGTGCCTTGACTATTCTGATTGAGCCTGATGTATTTATATCGACATGTGTAATGCTAAAACGAAATGGAATTCTGTCAAAAGTGTCAAATTTCTTGATTAATCACAAATATGAGTTCGTACAAATGGTTTGATGTACCATCATCCTGTTACACCCGGTATACATGAATTAATCATCGAAAAAACCGCATCGAAAAATAAAAATGGACGTGTCCTAGAGTTTTTTTTTGAAAAGTTACCCACTAAATTTTGAATGAATTAGACATTACTTCGCTTCGGAGATGCACTGTTCATTTATTGTTGAAAATATTTCAGCCATATGGAATCCTGAGCTCAACATATGAAGATTTAAGTCAAATGACCTAGATAAAATGAGTCTCATGTGTGTTACAGGGTGTTTTATTGTACATTGAATAAAGAAAAAGTAGAATATTCGCGTGTCAAGTATTGGAGAATCGAAGAATTGTGATAAAATGGCAATTCCGCCAGTGGCGTAGAATTTGGGAAGGATCAACCAGTCACTCGTCCCTTTCGTACGCCTCTGATAGTACCCAGAAACATTTAATTCACATAATTCAGAAGGGTGTATAGTATCTACACTTTCCGTCAAATATGACAATGTTAAGTCAATTCGTTTCAAAGTAATTGGAATAATCATCAAATTCTCAAATAAAACGCCCTGTAACTCAGACAGGAGACACATTTTATTTAGGTGATTTCTATGGTTGGTATATTTACTGTATATAGGTATGTATGTGGGTCTGAGAATAATGGAAAATACTATTCTGTGTTATTATTAACTTGAGGGGAGTGAAAACAAGTAGGGTAATAATAATAAATATGGATTGTTTTCTGTAGTCAGTCTTCCTGAATCTCCTACTTTATTGGAGTGTCTCGAACATTCCATTATACGCTATTCACTAATATGATTTTTTTGTATTCCGCGGGAAGTCATAGAGAATCTATTCCACAGTCGACAATCAATCTGCAATCTGAGAAACACCCTGTCTAACTGGACTACTAGGGGTATCACATTACCCTTTTTACGAGACAAGAAAAACGATCATGCTAGCACCAACTTCCACTTCGCCACTTATCCTCAGGGTAATTCCACGCATCCTCAAGAAAATTCCACGCATCCTCAGGGTAATTCCACGCGGCACCCCATAAATGCCAACACATACCCCTGATTGCCATTCTTCAGCTCCTGAATGGTAACCTCGTTGGTCTCGGTGCTTCCCCGCCGCTGCTGCTTCGTCGTCTTCTTCACTTTCTTCGTCTTCTTCTCCGTGATGGTGAAGTTCGAGCTGACCTCTACGTCTCCCATGGTGAAGGATTCGGCACCCGCGCACTATTACCAGGAGGAAATCGGGAGGTTTTTGTCGGAAGGTCTTTCGAGAGGTGCGCGCCTGGGTCGACTGATTTCTTGCCGAATCTCGGATAAAGCGAGTCTACAGATATTCGGGAGCTTTGATTTCTCGGGTATTTTTAGAGAATTGAAACTTTTGTGGTGTCGGGTGCAAGCGAACCTCCTGTCTTTCGGTAAGTGTTTGTGAGGTGGGTCGACGACATGGGCGTACGCAAGGCAATCTTTTGCCAAGCTCCCCCCCCCACTGTCAACACGTCCGCTAGGACCGCCATATCAAAATTCATATTTTGATGGCTGAAGACCAGCGGACCTGTTTTCTCATGTATTCGGGCATATACAGGGAGATACAAAAGTAAGCAGCATCCTTCCAGGGGCGTATTCCTTGCATGAAAATAAGGTAAAGAGTTCCTATTAACCCTTAATTACTCGCGCTGGTCTATTTTGTACACCAGCGCCAAATTTCTTGCTACCATCGAACGTAGAATTTTTTTTGTGGCTCTATCCCACGTAACCTATGTCTAACATGTCTGGGATGTGATAGATCAGTTTTGTGTGTGTGTTTGTACGTAAATTTTGACGCGTTGTCACGTTGGTGCCTAGAATACAAGACACTGCTTGATTACCTAAGTATTCAATATTGCATACAAACACGTTAGTTTTGTATTATGTGGACGCACTAAAAACAGAGCGACTTTTTTTTTTTAATTGCATTTCGTTGGACCCAGCACTGTGCGGGGTTAGGAAAGCATACGTTTTTGTTTCACCTAAAAACAAGTCAAATTCATGGTGGTGTACAAAATACACCGCGCGGGAAAAAGTTTGAATTAATTAGCGCGAGTAATCAAGGGTTAATAAAGGTCCGAAAATGCTTCCTGAGGAAGCTACGCCCCTTTGAATAGGACACCTCAAAGACGATCCTTTCTCTTTATAATCTCAATAATAAAATTTATTTTCCTTCTATGAGAAGTGAGACAAACTTTAATTTCCCTGAACTGAAAAATTTCTAGGAAATCTATAAATGATTAGTGAATTGGGCGTCCTGATTACGAATCCGAAGTGACTTCCAACCTATTTTGACTCCTAATATCATTTTCCGGAAATTGGGGTTGTTCCTTGGCTGTTGGCGGGCAGTGTATATCACTGAAGATGACCCCACTTGGTCATAGAGTGCATTTTTGGTATATCTCTCGCTCCAGCAAATTCCAGGATCCTTACCCAACGATTACATAAGATACAGGGGTGTTTCCATTAGAAGTGGTCACACTGTATTATACATGTCCATCCTCAGCCTAATCAAAATTGCTACATTAATTGGGTCTTAGGAATGAAAAATCATAATATCAATAAATGTTATAAAAAAGAAGGGGTTCGTTTTCGCTATAGCAGAGGGGAACCCAACAAACCCCAAATCTGAGAATTATGGTGGAAAGTGTGGGCGTTTTTGAATCATTTCAGGGGTATTCAAACAATCAGGTAACGGCAACGCTGTTGGTCCGTCGACGGTAGTCTTCAGTTGAGGCATTTTCAATGTGAAATGTAAAGCGAGTGAACTAATTTTTTTCATTTCTTGAATAGAATCATCACTCAAATATCTTTCGATTTCATATTCTTTTAGATTTATTTGGTCGATTTAAAGGTGCTTAAATCATCAATAATGTCACGGTAATTCTCAAACTGTCAGAGATTCACCGCGAGTAAAAACTGACGTCACGATTTAGTAGGTAGGGGCAGACCATAGCACCACAGTTGCCATATGTTGGAATACGATTGGGAACTTCAGAAATTGTAGTTATTCAATAATTCGTAAATTCTCAATTATTTATTGGTAATATTCCTAATTATTAATGAAAAATCAATTTTCTCAAAATTTTCCCTCATGTGTTGTGGCTTATCATTGCATGTGAAACATTTTTGTAAAGAATAAGTATAATAATTCACACTGAAGGACATTTGAACCGGCTCACAAATTGTGGGCGATGCCTTGTCAGTTCTGAGCATTCAGCACATTGTTGGCAAGTCTTCAACATTTACGTGATATTTTGTCACGGAGAATGAGAAATAGTTGGACATGCTGGTTGCTCTAAAAACTCAAGAATGAACTATACTATCATGACTTCCTCCTATTATGTTATATCTCGTGTTTTATTCAACAACAGAAGTGAAAAGACTCTAATATCTTTTCGATGTTTTGATTATAATTGATGACTTGACAACATTGCTTCATGAGTGGGAATGGAAGATTATCTGACCAATAACGAAACAGCATAAAAACTGACGTCATCATTTATTCGACGTATCGCCAAATGGCGGCCATGACGGTACGTTTGAAATGAGCTCTGGAATTCAACGATTCCGAACAAGGCATAGGCTCATTATTTACATCAAAAAGCGTTAGAAGTGTTGCTAATAGTTATTTATGTATTAAGGGAATTATGAGGGCCTTAATTACCGATGGCAAAGTTTGCGTCCCGAGGGCCTCTGGCCCGAGGGACAGCAATTGCCAGAGGTTATTAAGGCTCTATAATTCCCGTGTTACATAGATAATTTTATTTCTGACCGATTTTCATAACAATATGTCCATATTTAGAACGCAATAAATGTTTAAATTCATAACCTTTCTGGTATATTTGAATTAGGTAGCGTTGATTGTAGCATTGTTGGTTGTTGCTAGGTTGTCGCTAAGTTACATGTTTATTTTTTTTTTAAGCGGCGGAAGTAATTTTCAGGGAACATTTGAAAATTGTACATTTATTATTTGTAATGACGTGAATAAGGAAAATATGTCTTAGTTTTCATCACATATAAACGTTTATAAGCATTTCTTGTATTATTTTCACCTGTAAAAGGTAAGAGGGAGTTTTTGAACCTTAATATCCCAAGGGAGTTATGACCCTCATTATAGATATCGTAACTATGACGATATAAGCTTATAATTCACTGTCAGAAATAAAATTAATTTAGGTCCCTAATGGCACAGTGGAACAATTGAATGCCAATAATTCATTATCAGTCCACTCGCCCACTGATAAAATAAATAACGTGTTCGCTGAAATGAGTGTTTTCATGTAACTGAGCCTCCATAGTATACGCTTTCAGAGTATCACTTGAAGAAAAATGAAAAAAAAAAATTACAGGTCCTCCTATCAAATGAACAAGATACTGCGCCACTGGCGAATGGTGTTGGATCTCGACGAAAATATATCAAATTCAACTTGACGCAACATGTTTTCGCTTGTATGAGATTCATCGTTAAATCACTCTCAAAAAGTTGGAGTTACATCGCCTCTATGTCAAGATTACGCAAAGAATTTATCCAGCTGGTATTTCGCAATATCAGTAGTCAATTTGGATCATTTTATTGATGAAATTTTCCACCGATTTTTCATAGAACCTTTACGATTTCAGAATAGCACTACTGCTTTGAGATGACTATAAAAAAATATGAATGTGAGTGAGTGAATGTCTAGAAAATTTGCTACCAATCTGTAACCACGTTTTCAATCATGAGTTATTGCCAATTTGCCAATGCTTATTGGTTTAGTTCTTTTTCAAAGTGTTAAAAATATATTTCAGCTTTACTATGATTATATTATTAGCACTTCATCATTACCCGGAGATTGATTAATGATTATGTCAGATCAGCGTGAAATTGATTTTCAAGATGAAACAGCTGGGGCTGACACTCTAGATATTGTTGTTTTCAAGCGCGTCCAAAGGATCAATATCATATTCGTATAAATCTAGCTAGATGGTTGCGAGATTTTGTTTTTGTTCCCCTACAAAAGATTATTCAGGGCTCTTCAAAAGTAGTGCATTTGATAGTACTCTCCAAAACTAACGTTTTCTTCGACAATTTTTTCAGGAAATTTTTCCAGGAAACTAAAAACTCACGACGGGAATATTTTGCAAAATTTCATCCTGGGGTATTCAATACCACCAAAACTCAAGCCTGCATTTTCTCTAAAAATGTTTTAGCATGACTGATATAATAATGTTTGGTACCACCAGTGCCCCAAAGTCCACAATATCTTTGCTGGGACTCCAATTGGTTTATAATCTTCCATGGGAAAATCATGTCAGATCCATTGTGAAAGCTGCTCCACAAAAATTTGACATTTTAATCTACACTAACAGCTCCATAAGATCTACAAAGCACAGAACCGGATTGTTTCAGAATACTGTACCCACAAATTCGGTTCAGTACCCAAAAATACGCTGATGCTATTAAATTCCATTCCGGAGAGACATGCTATTAAATTCCAGAGAGACGATAGAGACAGACTATTGTAAAACCAGAGGAAAGTCGTCGACCTTTCACTTTTCTATAGATATTCCTTTTTTCGTTAACCTCGTGATATGTGGAACAACTCTTCAGCGAAGCTCAATTGTCTATTAAACGGAAAAGCTATAGAAATCTTTGCCTACAGCTATAATATTTCTGAGAACATGGAATGAAATCCAGAGGTTTCGGATCTCTGTTTGATCAAATGATCACTGGCCTGTAGCGATGAGGCCCAACAGTACGAAACCACTCTGCTGGTGGTTAAGTGTACCTGGCTCAATTCGAGCACGATTGGGCAGTAAGACTGTCGCTATTTATCTACTATTGTCGCTCAATGGTAAGTTGGCTTCATGTTTTCCCAATTAAGCATATGCCAGTTCGTTTGAAAAGCTCAACATGATCAAAAAATCATGAAGTACACATAATCTGATGTCACTGATTCAATTTTTATGATCCAGCAGGAGCATTTATCTCTTGCTCAACTTCAACAAACAGAAAGCTTGATATACTGCTCAACACAAACGTACACAAAGCAGTGGCACAAATCATTTCTGAACATAGTCTAATCTGAGTTATTTCCAAATTTCTTTTGATTAGGTTTCGATTGGTGGTTTTGATCGTTGATGTTGATCGAGAGAAAAGATTTAGTTATTGAAATGATAAAACTGTTGCGTTCTTTGCCATTTTCTCTATTTTCATT